CACGCAGTAGCCCTAGGTTGGATCCTCATTGCGTGCGCACACACACACACACACACACACACACATAGAACAGGAAGATGTGTTGCCTTCTGCCACAACAACTAACATGAAAGAGAGATGCAACCCCCACTGTCAGCAGGGCCTAGAACGAGCTGAGCCCCATAACTTCCTGGCAGGAGTGTGAAATGGCACAGTGAATTTGAACAATAGTTTTACAGCATTGCCTTAAGCTGAAAATATGCATATATTTCATTTCATTCCTAAGTATATGCCAAACAGAAATTTATGAACATTTGCACATTTTATTAGAATGTTAGCCAGGTGTAGTGGCCCACACCTGCAATCCTAGAGGCTGAGGCAGGAGGACTGCAAGTTTGAGCCTGGCCTGGACAACTTAGGGAGACTCCCATCTCAAAAAGGGGGTGGGGATGTAGCTCAGAGCAGAGGCCTGGGTTCGATCTTCAGCAGCGAACAAATATTCATGGAAGTATTGTTCTCTACCACCCCGGATTAGAAACCACTGAGACACCCATCAATGGTGGAGTGAAGAAGGGAGCTGCAGGACATTTGCACAAGGAACGTCGCTGCCCAGCAAGGAGAATGAGCACACTATTGGCAGAAAAAATCATGGGCAAATCTCATAAGTGCGATATCAAAGGAAAGAAACCAGAGTCAACATCATGCTTGTTTTATAATTCCTTTTATATCCAGTTGGAAAGGAAGCAATATGAGTGAATGGTGTTTGAGGCGAGGCCCCTGGGGAGCAGTGCTGGAGAGGGAAGGTGGGGTGCGTCTATGGATGCGCTGCTGACCTAGTTCTTCACCCAAGTCCAGGGTCCATGACTTGTCATTGAGTGGGAACCTTGTGGCTTGGGCATTTTTCTGTGCATGTCATGCTGCAAAACAAAGGACCAAGGGGCAGATTTACTTTTATGGCAAGTTTTATGAAAAACTCATTGTATGTGTCCTCATTTCGCCTTCAGCGGTGTGTGCTGCACTGTGGCAGTGCTCAGGGCTGTGACTACATCAGCGGGAGAAGACAGTGAATGGTATGGTGACATCACACTCCGCTGTGTACAGCCAAACCTGGGAAGACGCTGCCTAAGTTCTGCACACCAGGCAGCTGTTGAAAGTGACAACTTGGAGACAGCACCAGGTAGGACTCTTGGGACCTCACCAATGGACGTTGTCTTCCAGCTGTCCTGGGGTGCATGATGCCAATCCCTCGGTCCACCTGTGGGGTGGGTCCCATTTAGTACCAGGGTCTCTGTAGCTGTCCAGTTTCTCTAAACTGGTAAAGGGAAAAGTCTGGGTTCCCTTGCCTTTCTGGTCTTGAAGAATTCATGTACACCCCATCTCACTCTGGATTACAAATCCAACTTATAGTAATGAAAATGGAGGGCACTGGGCATGGTGGAGCACACCTATAATCCTGGTACTTGGGAAGGTGAGGCAAGAAGATCTCGAGTTTGAAGCAAGGCTGGGTTACACGGCCAAACGCTATCTCCAAAAAACAAAAATAAATGGGGTGCTCCAGGGAGCCTTTCGGGGACTGTTCAGTGGCCCTTCAACACTTTACCATCCAACTGCTAGTGGGCTAGAGCCACGCAGCAGCCTGGATGGGAGACGGGTCCTCTTCACCAGCTCCTACCTCTTGCTGTTACCTACTGTAGGGGTGGCTGCTCCCTGAAGGATGGGCTTATCAGGGAATCAGCAAGCAGCACATTGTAGTGTGATCAAGGAAGGGGTGACTGTGACCCAGCTGTGACCAGGGTTAGGGTGACCTGTGACTGGGCCCCCTTGTTCAAGCGCCACCTGCAGTAACAGCATGTGGCCACAAGGGGCTCTAGTGGGAGCCTTGAGCCCAGGCCCTGGAGGGAGAGCTTGATGTCTTGGCCGCCGAAGGTCCCCTGCTAGGCTGCTTTCCCTTGGAGTCTGACCTCTTCGCTGTCTAGAAGTTACAGGTTTCTTCTGCTTTCCATGCGCCTCTCCTCTTGTGCCCCCAAGAAGACTCCTCTGCTTTTGTTAGTTCTGGCACCTGTAGACCAGCGCAGCCCTAAGCCATGTGGTTGTGTCTTCGGAGACAGGGGGACAGTTGTCCTCTTTGTTTTCACAGCTCCTGACTCAGTCCCTTTCATCTCCCTGCAGCACCTAAGTTACAGGCTCCCCCTGCAGCCACAGGTTCTTACTGCCTCAGCCACAGGCCTTGGGGCCTCCAGAGGCTGGGTCGTCACAAGGCCCTCGGGCCCCAAGAGCCTGGCGAATCCTGGCCTTCTCTCCTGCCTCTCCTGGCTTGCCAGCCTTCCAGGCTGGAATGCGGGGTGTGGCCAAAAAATTATGGAATACTTAAATCTCTAAAAATATATTTCAGTAAAAGACACTTTGCCAGGGTCTGGGGAGATGGCTCAGTGGAATAAGCGCTTTCCTGGCAAGTGCAGGGGTCTGAGTTCAATCCCTGGTTCTGCCAAAAATAAAAAAGACACTTTGCCATAATCTCCCTCCAAATATTCGAGTGCCTCCCCTACTCGGAAAACACTCTTATCCCAGCGTTCTTGCCACTTTCTGAAGCAGTCCGGGAATTGCTCTTTGAGTCCTAATTGGTTCCAGACCCCTTCCTTTTCATGGCCATTTTGACTCTGGGAAAGAATCAGAAATCACGTGGCGCTGATACAGTGCATAAAGTGCCCGAGGGGACACTGTCCCGTATTTATGAGCCTGCCTTCCTGCTGGCAGTCGCTGGGCAGCAGCACTCGCTGTATTTTTAAACACGTCTTGTAAAAACACTCCAGAAAGAGGACTTCCAGAATTGCTTCAGAAAGTGGCAGAAACCGCGCTTCCTCTGGCTTGTCCCGCTCCTTCCTCCCTACTGTCTCTTCCTCTGTGGAACCTTCCCTGACCCCGACTCCTTCCCACACCGCTGAAGCCCTCCTGTGCGGGGCTCCTCTTCCAGCCCGCATCTCTCCTTGGAACTGTCACCAAGCGTTGTAATACTGACCGGCACCCTCCCCCATCTCCTGCACTGACTCTGTAGGTCTGGGGGTCCCCAGGGCCAGCATACAGTGGGTGCTGCATGAAAGGGGTACGCTGAGGCAGCCCGCTGCACCTTGAGCAGGTCCCTTCCGTGAGAGGAGCCCCCGTTTGCTGATCAGCCCAATGGAGAGACGTGCGCGCTGGAGGAGAGCGAGTACATTGAAGAACGTTACGGATGACTAAGCGCTGTGCTAGCGCTTTGGCTGCATTTTCTCCTCCAGGCTGGTATTTACCTACACTTGCCTGTGTGGAAACCTCGGATTGGATGAATGCAGTATGGTCCTCTTGTAATTTCCCCACCTTTCCAGACAAAGAAAAAAGGCAGCCAGGAGTAAACGATTAATTCGTCTCCCTGACACCCCCAACTCTGAGCCCCTGCCCCCACCTGCTCTGGACCTCTGGGTTAATGATTGTGAGGTTGTTTTCCTCCCAGGGCTGATTTGTATCTAATCTCTGGCATGTTCTCTCTTTTCTTAAGAAAAACTGGACTCACTCCAGTAATTCCTCATCCTGGGGTCAAGAACTTTGTTTTATGGGAGGGACCATGGATGTAGGCAACTCTTGGGCTCTTGCTCTTTCTCGACAGGGTGTCCACACCATTAATTTTTATTTTAGGAATGAAATAGCCACTGTACTAAAGCCGCAAGGAATCTGTACTGAACTCACACCTCCTTCACATGAGGTTGATCTGTTTTGGGAGTCGTAAGAAGAAAATCCCTGGAGATTTGGCATGGAGAGGGCCAGCTTCCGGTCCTGACTTTTCCCGAGTATAATCAGTGGCCAGGGAGGACTGGGCTCTGAAGTCAGGAACAGCCCAGCCTGGGGGGCCAGCAAGGCCTGGAATTCCTGCAGGAGTACTGCTTACAGCTGGAGGGGGGCTGGAGCAGGCACAGTGGGATGTGACCCAAACCAGTCCAGGAGGGCTCCCCGAGACAGGAGTCTCCCTGCCCCATCTCTCCCTGATCGTCAGTAAATTCAGGCTCGGCTCTGAAGAGATTCTGGCTGCTTATGGGGCCGCCTCTCTGCACTTGCTCATACAGGCATTGGTGTCACTTTGTGCACACAGAGGGAAAGGGATCATCGGGTCAACGTGTTTGGGGCCACAGCACGGTCATCTGCCAGGTAATGGTAGGGACACGCCATGCTGAGTTCAGAGATGTGAGGGTGTGTGACAGTGAAGCACTAGTAACCGCTTGACCCCACCTCTTTGCTTAAGAAATGAATTCCCAACACTACCAGGAGTCTTGCTGCCACCCCTTTGTTCCCATTGCTGGCTTCTCCACCCTAGAGAAAGCCAGCGGTCTGAGCCTAGTGTTTGCCACACCCTGGTTTTGATTCCAGGTTTACCAAACATGTATGCAATGTTATTTGACCTTGTGAAATTATATCCTGTGAGATATATATTCATTCCACTGCCCTTCATTTTTCACTGTGAGTATCCTGCTCCGTACCCTGCTGTACTGGCAGCCTCTAGGGTGGGAACTTGGTCTGTCTCCAGTGTTTTGCCATTAAGTTATTTTGCTATAAATATTCTCACACCCATCTCCTGGGATATGTGTGTTTCTCCAGGGCATATGCTGAGGCGGGGTGCGGCTCCCTCAGACAATATCCTCCTTGTTCTGATTGAGGGCACTGCTGCTCCCCTTCCCTGACCCCCAGAGGCCCTATTCTCCAATAGAGTTTATCACAGCATAGAGAACCATGGAGGTAGAAAAAACGGTGCCTCCTGGCCATAGCTCAGGGTCACCAATGCCAGGAAGGTTCCAGGCAAGAGGAAGCTGTCACATCAGCTCTGCGGAGCAGTGTGAGGGGATCCCCTAGATGGGGTCCAGGAGCCTCAGCCTGAAATGTAGTTGGCATCACAGAATCCTTTGTGAGGTCACCACTGAGCTGACCAGCATGGACACACAGACTGTGGCAAACCATTCTCAGGTCAAATAGTTCTTTATTTCACCTGGAGTAAAGAAAGCTAGGATTGGCTCTCTCAGGGTGCTTGCTGGGGCCTTAGGAGCTTCTGGCTCTGGGTGCTATTTAATGGGCTTCCACAATCACCGCCTCGGTGACCTCGGATGTCACAGAGCTAACGATCTCCACTCCCTGTCCACTCTCTGCTGTCTCCACAATGGCCTCCAATTTGGTCTTCTCTACTGTCTTGGCCACCACGTCCACATCACCACCACGCAGTGAGGCCATCCCCTTTGTTCTGAGGTTGGCCTTGACATTCCTCAGAAAAGAGCTGATCTTGCCGCGTCTCTTGGGTGTGGAACCTGAGCTCGTGGTGGATAAGCTTCTTCCGGATTTGTGCGAGGTCCTGGACTCCTTCTCAATGGGGCTGCGGCTGATGCCTTTGGGGGCGCGGTTGTGCCTGCCACCCCTGGCACTGCGGTGGCTGCCTGTTTCCTTTTTACTGGCTCTGTGTGTTCTGTGGCTGGATAAGGACTGACTAGATGACTTCCGGGCCATCTTGTCCTCTGATGTCCTGTGGCGACCTTCATGTGTCTTGCGGTGAGAGGAGCCCCTGCTGGTGGCTCTGTCTTCTCTCTTCTTTTTTTCTCTTCGTTCCTTGAGAGTAGCTTCACTGGCTGGGGGCATGCGCTGCTGTCCAGCCTCTGCACCCTTGGGACTTTTACTTGCCATTGTTCCCCCGGCTGCGGGGTTGGGTGCTTTCCCAGGCTCATTGCTGGTGGCTTCTCCTCCTGCAAATGCAGCGCTCATGCTGTTCTCTGGGGAGAAGCCGTCGGACCTGGGCTCCGAGAACTGGTTCACGGCCCCTGCCAAGGCAACACTCAGGCTCTTTGGGGGTGTCTTGTCAGTGCCTGCTCTAGGGCTTTTGCTTTCTCCTTCCCCTACGGAAGCTGCCCCTGCCAAGGCTGCGTTCACCTCTCCAGAGCCTGACTTGGTTGCCGCCACACTCAAGGTGCCTGATGCCGTCCCTGCTACTCCTGCTGTCCCTGCCGCCGCTACTGCCCCACCTGCCACGGCCTCTGTCTTTGTCCCTCGTGCTGAGTCTTGGGCAAACTCAGTGGATCTTGATTTTGAGGTAGATATTTTTGGTGTGGCATTGGATGTGTGAGAACCAGGCTTGACTCCCTCCCCACCAGCGTAGGCGGCAGAGGTGGCCCTTGTCACCTCAGGGACCACATGGAGGCTCCGGATGCTGACCTGGTCCTGGTCGCCTTTGCCTTGGGAGTCTTGGGCAGCCAGGCTGGTCCTGTCCTCATCGGCCAGTGCCGGCATGCACAGCATGTCCTCTGCAGGGGTGGCATAGGTGCTGCTATTACTGTCCACAGGCGGCCGCAGGAGGTAAATCAGTTTCTCCCAGTAGGTGAAGAGGTCTTCGCGTGCGTCAAGAGGAGGACATAGCTGTAGGTAGCAGGACCGGCCTGTGGCAAACTTCAGGCGCAGCTGCTGTTTTTGACGGTCGTGAACAGAGATCCTTACAAACTTCAAGGGGAGAAGCCTGGTGAGCTCCAAGGGCTTTGGGCCTTTGCGGCTTTTCCCCTTGGTGGCCTGACTGAATCCCTCGAACTCTTCACAGTTGGTGGCCGGCCGGGCCAGGAGCATGACATCGGGGATCAGGAGAATGGGGCTGGTGCAGGCGATGCCCACAGTCACCATGCGCACACGGTTGTGCACGTCAATCACCTCTCCCCGCTTGGTGATCTGGATGAAGTCGCTCTCGAATATCGGGGCATACTTGAACATGTCGTACTCACCCTTGTGCAGGTGCCGCTGCAGCTTCCCCATGGTGGTGCTGAACATGCCGGTGCCAGAGCTGCTCTGGGCCGTGTAGTAGGGGAGCAGACACTCACTGTTTGTGACCATCTTCTGTCATGACAGGGCTGCTGGCCCAGCAGGTCCCTGCGTCGCCTGGCCTGCCTTGGTGTCCCTGGCAGGTAAGGGATCCCTGGTGTTCCTGGGTCCCAAGGGTGGTACTAGCTGGTTTCTCTGCCCCACTCCAGCCCACAGGCCCTCCAGAGCCTCAGAGCTTTCCAGGCGTGGGATCAGGGACCAGTGACCAGGGGCCACTGGAGGGTGCCTGCACCTGATGGACTCTCTTCAAAGGCGCAGCATGCGCAGAGCCCTGGGGGGGGGGGTTGCTCCGCGGTCGGAGCGCCTCACCTCCTGCTGTGATATTGCCTCTCTCCAGGACTCTACAGACTGCAGTCCTTGGGGGAGACAGGGCCACCCTCCTGGCCTGCAGCCCTGCACTGCTGTATTTATCCTCTGCTGCCTTTATGACCTGTCACTGTCATATATGCCTTTGTTCCTATGCTCTGGTTGCCCCCACCCCCAGAGGACAGGACAACCCTGGTGGGAACTCAGGGGCAAAAACAGCTTTTTTTTTTAAATGGGAAATTTCTGTATGAATGTTACCCTGCACCCTCCAAATTTAAAAGAATCAACAACCAGCCAGGGATGCTGGCACATTCCTGTAATCCCAGTTTGCTGGGAGGCTGGGGCAGGAGGATCACAAGTTTGAACCTCAGCTGGGCAATGTAGTGGTTTAGCAAGACCTTGTCTCAAAATAAAACATTTTTTTTGAAGAAAGGCCAGTAAGTACCTCAGTGTAAAGACCTGGGTTCAATGCCTAGTACCATAAAAAAGGTTCAACAATTAGACAAAGTACAAAAATGTAAGATGACAGGGTAGATTTGGCCATCCTGGTTTATTTATTTATTTATTTATTTATTTATTTATTTATTTTTGCGGAAGCAGGGATTGAACTCAGGCCCTTGCATTTGCCAGGGAAGTGCTTATTCCACTGAGCCATCTCCCCGGCCCTCATCCTGGTGTAATTTTATGAAATAACCTGGAATTGGTGGGTTGGCTGCTGAGCCTGCCCTTACATAGAACTCAGCAAATCTTGATAATGATGATGGTGATGATGATGTTGATGAGCTTTAGTAAAAACTCGGAGCTTTCATAATTCATATTTAAATTAATAATTAAGGACTGCTGTTCCTAGGCACTGTACTATCTGTCCTGCCCGCTATTGTGAGCACCCACTGAGTTTGGCCCTGTTGTTACTGTTCTCACCTCACAGGTTGTTACGCTTTGTGTCTAATTGTTTCCCCAAAGCCTCATGCAGTCATGGTGCAGACTTCTAAAGACTGTGATTAACTCCTGATCCATGGGGATTATGGGTGTGAGTGCTGTTGGGATTATGGGTGTGAGTGCTGTTGGATTATGGGGTGTGAGTGCTGTTGGGATTATGGGGTGTGAGTGCTATACCCATCCTGGGGCAGACAGCCTGAATGCAACTAAGGGAAGCTCCGAGAAGGACCTACCCTCCCCGTCCTGGTGACTGTTAGACCGGAAGATCCCCTTGGGTCACTGCTTGGGGACAAAGGCTCCCTCTCCATCCTCAGATGGGAGGATAAAGAAGCTACAGTGTATCCATTCACCGCATCGTTCAGCTTCATGGGGCAGAGTGCTGGTGAGTGCTTCCATATGGAGGCAGCTTGACAGCGTGCTAAGAGGAAGAAGCCAAACAAAACACAAAGGCCATGGACTGTAAATGCAAAGGTCATGTCTATCAAATGCTCAGGATAGTGAACGACAGCCAGGGGCTGAAGGAGGAGCAAACAGAGTGGCTGCTCAGGGGCTGCTTGGAACCGTTCTGGTTAAAAACCAGGCTTCTGTTTTAGAAAGCTCAACTGTGCGACCTTGAGCAGGCTGCTACTCATCTGTAGGATGGGGAATCCACTGTGGTGAGCACCTGATGGGGTGCCACCATTTGGATCTGGAGGTCTCCCAAAGGCCCCTGTGTCATGGCTTAGACACCAGCTTGGGCTGTGGGGAAAGGGGGACCCTTGGGGTGGCGCCTTGCAGGAGGTGCTTATGTTACTGGAGGGGACCCTGGAGGGAGACTGTGATACCCTGGCCCCTTCCTCTTTTACCCTCCTGGTTCTTGGCTATGATGTGATGGTTTTGTTCTGTCACATAGCCCCACCACAATGTGCTGCCTCCCCACAGTCAAAGCAATGAGTTCAATTGACCACTGACTGGAACCTCTAAAACCGTGAGCCAGAATAAACCTTTCTCTCTCTCTCTCTCTCTCTCTCTCTCTCTCTCTCTCTCTCTCTCTCTCT